CCCCGCCGCCATATCCACAACGCACGAACCTCATAAACCGGGCGACCCCACGTGCCCCATCCCAACCCGACTTCGCGAAGCAAACCCCCACCAACCTCCCGACCCCGACACCTGCCACACCACCGCCCCCACCCGTCGCCCCCTCCCATCTTACACCCACCCAGCTAACACAAAACGACTTCATGTTATCACGACCAGTACCCCATCTCTACTCCCCCCCCCCCCCCCTCCCCCCCTCCCTCCCCCCCCCCCCCCCCCCTTCCACTCCTCCGCCCAGTCCGCGTCGGGCCGTGCCCCGACTGCGACACGTCCACCGCATGCAGATAACAAGAAGGCGACGGTAGTCACAACAACGAACAGGGGAACCAGCACCACCTGAACAGGTGCAAAACTCGCAAACACCCCCAACGCACGTTGGCGACACGATTCTCCCAGACACCCACAGTCACTACTTTGAATCTTAATTATCCAATCAGCTGGTAATTTAGGAGGAGGAAAAAGAATTCACCCCACAAACCGACCAAAAAAAGAAAAAAGGAAAAAAAAAATAAAAAAGCGTCAACAGATAACCTAAAAACCAGAAAAAAGGAAAATAACAAAAAAAATAAAAATATAAAAAAGGAAAAGAAAAAAATAATACATTGCCCAACCCCTCGAATTAAAAAAGGGAGAAAAAGAAAAAAGAGAAAAAGAGATTCAAGCCCCCGGGATCCAAAAGGAAAAGATTCAAAAGAAAGAAAAAAAAAAAGGAAAAAGAAAAAAGATTTGAAAAACAAAACACATCTCAGAAGCCACTGCCAACCCATATGCTGCTCGCCCTCTATCACATTGTCTTGCTTGCAGTCGTCCCTTTTTTCTACTACTGAAAAAAATAAAAAAAAATAAAAAAATTGAAAAACAAAACACAGCCCAGGAACCATCAGCAACCTACGTGGCTGCTCGTACCATATCACATTGTGTTTAACTCTCAGTCGTCTGGATTGCCTTGCTAGCAAGTAACTTTGGTATCATCTCCCGGGTGATTAAAAGCTTTCCTAGCATCTAACATAGAATTGTTTGTCCCCCCTCCCAGGCAAAGATGGCCACTCCAGCCCCAATCACCTTCCAGCGCCGCTTCTCTTCAGTAGTGGCAGCCAACACAAAGAATGCAGACAAAAACACACAGTCGAATGGAGCTCTGGTCGACCACRAAACCCTCCGCTTCTKACTGGAATCRCCTCAAATCAAAGGGGAAAGAGTAGTAAAGAAGATTCAGMAGGACSGAGAGGAAAAGGAAATCACAGTTTGGTGCTWCCCGAARGAAAAAATTGAAACCACCAACGCCATGTACSCGAAACATGGGCTAGTTTTCACYTTTTCCAACACTGSGGCTCGCCTCCCAGAAATCGAGAAACGCAAATGGATCACAAGGACAGTGCAGGGACACGAAAATCTCAGATCCAGCACGGACAAATTCTCCATTCTGGTACTCAGCAGAAACATGATGATGGTGGTCTTCAAAGATGCCGACCAGGCATCCAACCTGACCAACAGACACACCACACTGAACTGCAACGGGTCAGTATGTTCACTGTCCCGCTGGAAACAGGAGACAGCACAGGAAGCCATGATCTCCCCGGCAACCGCGCAAAAACAGCGACTCATGAGGGACCAATTCTGGGTCCAATTCGACAACATCCCGATTAGAGGGCACCCGCTGATCAAGGACAGACTGGAAGTGGAGTACCCAAACAACAAAGTGTTGAAATGGGTACTTCCAACTCCGGAATTCCTGGCCCCACACTGTGACTCCATCACAGCCGTTTTGGAAGTGAACACGGAATCAAACCCCGAATTCCCGGAAGAATGGGAATTTAGCATAGGGGAGGAAGCATCTTCGGTAACAGTCTCGACGAAAGATGCCCCCATCTGTTTCAGGTGCAGAGAGAGAGGACACCTGGGCACAGACCCAGCGTGCCCGAGATCCCCCGAACACTCCAAAGAGAAGAAACTGAGACAGAACATGCTTATGGAAGTCGAAGAAGCAAAGGGAATATGGTTCGTCAACGACCAGGATTACAACGGATGGGTCTTCGACGACACCATCGACGACCCGAAATGGATCTGGACATATAACACGAACCCGTCAACAAAACAGCCAGATATATTCCCCCCCTCAGACAGCAGATGGCACGCAGTGGGAGCAAAGAAAGTAACAGGTATCCCAGGAAAAATCCACAAAGATCAGATCATCGACCCACGAGGGATCAGGGAAGAGAAAAAACACGAAGATCTGTTGTGGGACATGGAGACAATCAGGACCAAGACAGCAGAAACGTGCCAGAACACCAACCTGGATAACAACACCCTGCTGCAGGAAGCGAAACAGACCCTCGAGCACCGCCACCCCAAACCAGAGATCCCCCCCGCTCTCAAACGGAACGCCTCGCCCTCCGCCAAGAACTTCCAAGAGGACAGGGCAGGTAAGAAGAGAAGGGCAACGGAGGAGGGCTCGGGTAAGATTCTCAGATCTGTGCACCCCCCCCACTAACGACCCCCCCCCCCGGGACAGACCCGATCTCAGCTGACACGGAAACAGGAACGGACACCTCACAAAGCAAAGCAAGCCCCATTCCCTGGCTCGAAGAGTACCTGCAGCTAGCAAAATATGAAAGGGAAAAAGAATTCGGCGTCAGGCTGGCATGCATGAAACATCTGGAGAAGACAGGGAAGCCAGCCAATGGACAAGCAGTGGCCGGAATCCCGCAATCCAAGAATTTTTTCGATATGTTGCGCATGAACTCCGAACTCTCGGAGTTCAGCGCCTTCAGATATTACGAAAAGAAGAGGGAAAGAGAATCTGCTGGAACAGACACCGGCACAGGTTTTGACCCCCAAACCTCGACAGACTCCATCCGAGACATGGTTTCCAAGAACTGGAAACCGTCGAAGGGAAGGGACAAGAGGCCAAAGGGTTCCCCCAAGGACGAAGCAGGCAGCAAGAACGTACAGCACAGACTCACGCAGGAAATTGCAACAGAGGCAGCACAGACAAAAAGGCTGTTCGACCAGAACCAGGACTACAAAAAGGAGCAAGGAGAGAAGTTCATAACAGTTCGGATGATCGCAGAAAACAAGGCGCCCGACGTCCCCAACTCAGCAAACGTTGATAGGGGGACCATCAGGGCGGTAAGACCGCTGATCCCAGTCCGGTCCAGAAACAAATTCAACGAGTGGCAGGTGGCCACAGATGCAGCGTTCACAATCCCCACCCTCGACGATGACAGAGCCCTGGCCAAGAGTGTCAGGGACAATATCTCAGCGGAGACCCCACAGGGGGTGTTTGGGATCCCGCCACGAGAGCAGACAGCCGAAGGGAAGGCGCTGGAAAACTGATCCTCACCCCTTCGATCCCATCCTGGTCAAGCTCGACGAGAAAGCCAAACTCTGCGAAGGCCTGAAATGGAGGGCTTGGGACACGATCACGATGCTGCCATACAACGTGCTGAACGGAAGGTCAGCACAACCGACATCATTGCAGACTCGTTGGCCGACATCATCAGGACCCGCATACTGACCTCCAAGACCTCGCTGCAAGACGAGGCGACCCCCATCAACGTAGACTTGGGGAGGGAAGAATCAGACAGGGAGGACGATGAGGAAGACGGGATGGATGTGGGCGACAAGATCTCCCCCGGGGGAGACGACACGGGGCCTCGCTCGACGACGGAGAGCAGCGCTGGAGAGTTCAGTCTGGGCTCCTCAGCGACAAGTGAGGACAGCAGGGACACTGACTCTGACAGCGGCAAGACCCAGGCCGCAGCGGACTGAATAACTTACCACCTGCAAAAATAAAACCCCACCCCAAAAAACAATATGGAAAAACTGCACCGGTAACCAATTAAAAGTGAACCAGGAAGGAAAAAGAAGAGGAAAAAAAAAAAAAAAAAAAAAAACAAGCAACAATGCAGAGTCCCACAAGTAGTAGACATGGGCAGGACAGCCCAACCAGGATTAACTGGCACGCCAAAGGGCTCCAGATAATCAGCTGGAACGTCAATGGCTTGGGGAACGTTTTGACAGAGGAAGACAAGCTCAGAGATCTGCGGACGGGCCTAGTGGGGAAGGATACCCCTAGACCAGACCTCGTCCCCCTCCAAGAAACTCACCTGTCCAATCTGATCAACCACTCGAAGATACATCAGATGATGGAAAGAACCGTAGGGGGATGAACATTCGCTCTGTGGTCTAATAAAATTGGTCAAAACAACAAAGGAACTGCAATACTTGTCCCAAAAAGATCTAAAATCCTGCYCGAGGGACAGATCCTGAACAGCGAGGGGGATGGCAACGATGGGAGATGGTCTTGGCTAGACATCAAATGGCAAGGAGAAGACCTGCGAATCCTCAACCTGTATGCAACAAATACAGAATCCGACAGACTAACATTCTTCGAGAACATCAAATCCCTCATCCCCAACCCACAACCTATAATCATCGCAGGGCACTGGAACACGACCCTAGACCCGTACCTGGACCGGATCTCAAGAACAACACTAATGGGACCCACAAGAGCGGGCACCCAGATTCAAAACCTAATGACTGAATTCGAACTCTGTGACCCTCTCAGGTCACTACATCCGAATAAAAAGGTATTCTCCCAGATAAGGAGGAACCAAGTCAACCGGACTTCATTGTCCAGGATAGACTACTTCCTCATATCCGAGAGCTTACTCGGTACAGTTAAAGAGGCCGAAATCCTCCCATCGGCAGCATTCAAAGGATTGGACCACAAACCCATTCAGCTGCTCTTGAACTTCAATGTGCCAGTCCAAACAGGCCAGGGTTTTTTCAGGCTGAACAACTCCCTAATAAAAACGAGAGAATGATTGCGGCGGTCAAAGGAAACTGGGCTCTCAACAAACAACGAGATTCTAAGCAGATAAACAACCACCAATGGTTCATCAACAGTTACACGAACCTAACACAGAGAGTCTCAGCGGAGTCCAGAGATATCGCTAGAGACCGTAAAAGAAGAAGGGAAGAGCTCCAGTTCGCTATAGCTGTTGCAGAAGCAAACCTGACGGAAGACCCAACCAGTAGTTTCTACCAAGAGTTATTAGACGACACCAAAGAAGAACTGAACGAGTGGAGAAGATGGGAACTGAGAGGCCTGCAAATCAGAGCAAGGATGACAGACTGCGCACTCAACGAATCCATGACAAAATTCTTCTTTTCTAAAATAAAAGTTAATGCAAGGAACAATATGATAGAAGCCCTCAAAGACCCAATAGACCAAGGGATCACCAGAACAGCAGGCCCCGAGATGGTCAGGATAGCCAGATCATTCTACGCAGACCTTTACGAGTCAAAGACACCCTCACCCCCGACCACAACGAACCTAGCTGCTCGTCAACTCATGCTCTCATACCTTGACAGGACCATCACAGATATTCAGGCGGAAGACCTCGACAAACCCCTGACATTGGCCGAACTACACATAGCCCTGACACAGATGGGAAACGATAAAGCCCCGGGCATCGACGGACTCTCCAAAGAATTCTGGAGCTGTTTCTGGCCAACCCTGGGTGACGACCTGCTCAAGTTTTTTAATGACAGCATGCGCAGAGGAGGCCTATGAGAAGATCTGAGTACCAGCGTGGTCTCACTGCTTTACAAGAAGGGAGATAAAGAAGACTTGAAAAACTACAGACCCATATCCCTACTAACCACGCCCTACAAAATCCTAGCCAAGGCCCTCGCAAACAGAATCACCAAATTAACTGACAGCTGCTTCCACATCGACCAAGCCGGATTCATCCCGGGTTGGTACATACTAGACAATGTAATGACTCTAAATGAGGCAGCACAAAAGATCACGGAAAAACGAATGAAGGCGGCAATACTATTCTTCGATTTCGAGAAAGCCTACGACCAGGTCAACTGGGATTTTCTCCATTCATGTATGGAGAAGATGGGAGTTGGCCCGAATTTCAGAAATTGGGTGAGAGTATTGTACGCAGACGCAACAGGCAGGGTCCAGGTAAACAGAATCCTATCAGATACCTACCCAATCTCGCGATCAGTCAGACAAGGCGACCCACTAGCTCCACCCATATTCCTCTTCATCATGGAGGCCATAGCCTCATTCCTCCGTAAAGATCCGTCCATCGACCGCCTCACAGAACCCACTACACGACTTTGCCTTACCCACAACACTCATGCTCGTCGACGACCTCACGGTCCTCATCCGAGCCAACAACAACTCCTTTCAAGCGCTCGTAAGGGCTATGGAATCCTTCAGATTAGCCTCAGAGATGAGGGTCAACTGGAACAAAACAGAAGGATGGTGGCTTGCTGACGACACCCCTCCCCAACCACCTAACACCGACACACCCATGACATGGACCTCGGGAGAGCAAGCACTAAGGTTCCTGGGCATCATGATCAACAAGGAATAGGTTTGGACAGGTATGGGGCAAAACTTAATCGCTAGGGCAATCACCCGCCTGGCCCAATGCAAAAACGCTCAGGCTTCCCTAATCGGACGGGCGCTACTGATTAACACAACCATCTTTTCCACACTGTGGTACATGGCATCCATCTGGTCCCCCCCTGACGACCACCTCAAGGAGCTGAAAAACAGGGTGAGATGCTACCTGTGGACAGGGGATCCCAACAGAACTACTCGCATCAACAGGGTCGCATGGAACCATATCACAAGGAAACCACCGGAAGGAGGCCTCGGGATTATCGACCCCAAACATGAGGCAATAGCACTGCAAATGAAGTGGATAATCAAGATTCTCACCAAACAATTCCTCCCGTGGACCCAGATGGCGTTAGATAGCATCAGAAATTTAGCCCCCATCAACTCCCCCCCGAACATGAACGGTCTGTTATGGCTCATGGCAAAGGACTGGACAATCAAGTCCGGCAGAACGCGCAGGAGAAACCTCTCACCACAAACCGCACCCAAACAGTCAATCCGTATTGGCGCCCCACCATAAAAGCCTGGCGCAAGATGATGCCTAGCAAACACGGGGCACCAGGAAACAGAGAAGAAGTCCTGAGACAACCTCTTTTCGGCAATCCCTGGATCACTGACCCCAATGGTGCAGCGTGGACTCTACGCTCCAAGGACCGTAGATGGCTATCCTGGGTAGAAAAAGGCGTATGGCAGGTCAAACACATCTGGATAGAAGACCAAGGACGATGGGCTACCGACCAAGAACTACGCAATGTATTAAAAGGCTGTCACTCCCTCTCTGATAACCTAACACTGATCCAGAAAAGCATCCCAACACACTGGCTCCCCCTCCTGAAAGAGGAATTCTCGTGGAAATCCGGGGACTGGGGAGTACTAAAGTCCCAAACCCAGCCCACCACAGCATACAGATTTGTTAACAGAACCGGCCCATCTGGACACCTATCGAAGTTTCACACCTACCCCGTCGCCAAACACAGCACATACGAGTTGGAAATCCAGAACAAAGATCCCCAATACGATACACTTGAAACCTTCCGGTTGAGGAAGGTAAGGGTGTCAAAGGCTAAACCCTGGAAGATCTTCCAACCGAACCTCAGCATCTCAGAGCTAGAATTCGATCCGAAAGAATGGATTTGGAAACAGGGGAAATCAGGGAGAACGAGAACGATTGCAGAATACGATGTTAAATTCGGCTATGAGCTGGGCCTGCAAACCACCGACCCGGACCCCAGATTCAAAGTCAAGTGGAGGGAGATACTGAATCTGAACCCCTCGGTCCCCGTATCAGTCCCGTGGTCGAAGTTCCTCTCCATTAGACCGGCCAGGATCCGAAGCATGCAATGGCTCCTAGCGCACGCATCACTGCCGACTAACCATTGGCTCCACAAGAGAAGAAAACACACAGACCCCGACAGCACTGAGTTATGCAGTCTATGCACAGACAACGCCTCGGAAGATATACCCCACTGCCTCCTATACTGCAAGGAAGCAGCATGGACATGGAACAAAGTATGCGATCTGTGGACCTTCCTCTTCTCATCATCTCCCCCGCCCATAACCCCCCTAAACATCCTGCTCTTATCTAACAACACTAGCAATCTCAAAGGCGGCAAGGAAGTGTGGTTCCACCTACTCAGAAAGCTGGCTCTATGGGTAATCTGGAAGAGGAGATGCACCAAGACGATCGAAGGTAATGAGGTGCCAAGAGAAGAAATGTGGGCACTACTGCTGAGAATGGCTGAAACAGAGATTCGAGCCCGATGGAGGGAAGTGACAGCGGCAACGAAAGGCAAACCAGAAAGGATAGCCATGAAGAGACGAGTGTTCATAAGAGACTGGCTGCTACAGGGAAAGATCGCCACTCCGGTGGAAAACAGATTGGTGTGGAAGAAGTGGCACAGCACAAGGCCCGGAACTTAGAGAGAAGCAAACTGAGATTATAATCTCAACCAGTACAGACATTCCCCCTCTTTTCTTGCTTTAAATGCGTGATTTGACAGAGACACAGTAGACTCTGAGAGGAAAAGTGGGAGGGCAAGCTGACAGTCAATCCTCCTGATAAGGAGTAATCAATGCTGGTCAGGGTTCCTTTGGCCAGACGGAAGGAAGCGTGAGGGTGTTCACCATGTATTTTATCTTTGACTTGCCGGGGGAAAGGAACCGGACTGACGCTCCCCAGAATGGATATGGAGCCAGGACCATAAGGACCTGTTTCAGGAAAAAAAAAAAAAAAAAAAAGAGKGGTGTGGCGAGGCCCATTCCCTCGTGACTTTTCCCGCCACCAAACACAAAACAAAAAAAAAAAAAAGAAGGAAAAACGAGTACGGAAGGAAGGGGTTTGCAATTAGGTTAACCTGGGGGAACATGGAGAAGACGGCCAGGAAGTAGGCGATTCCTCCCACTACGTCGAATCTCCAGTTCTTCTTGCGGAACTTCAGAATATTCTGCAGACTAATCTGGCAAGCACCGAGCAGGACAGAGAACACGAGAGAGAAAAGAAAGCAACGTCAGACGAGAATGAAAAGAAAGACAGTTTGCAGTCTGAAAAGCATTCAGAAAAGAGGAGAGTTCGTATCACCTATGAGGGACGCTGGACTTGGTTTCCAGCAGGTCCAAGTGCAGCTCCCCACCATATAGAAAGGAGCCGTCAATCATTGGAATGCCTCAATCCTGGGGATGCTCTTACTGCTCCCGGACTGCAGGCTTGCACTCTGATGTTAAAAAACAAAACCAAAAAAAAACACACAAAAATTGCCATAAAAAAAAAGAGCCCAAGCGGGCTAGCTCGGTTGGTTGAGCACGTAAATGGTATTCAGGAGGTCGTCGGTTCGGTTCCCCACGCCGTCCATTCAATCCCCCGCGCCCCCCTGTGACACACTTCAGGTTCACCACTGGAGATAATTGGCTTGGGCCTCCTGGCTGATTGTGCAAGTAGCTTCGGCTTCCCAGCTCGTACCAGGTGTTGGGAGCCAAAATACTGCTCCCCGCATAGAGCAGAATGTACATAGCAGAGGCCACTGTCAACCCATAACTTTCAGGGCCACCCGACTTGTGTGCATAGATAGGCTTCAAAGAAGAAAGAAAAAAAATGCAACTGGACTAGGTAAATAGGGGTAGGTACTGGGTAGCAATTGTGAGATAGCCACAGTATTGAGAAAAGGAAATAGGGTAGTAACATCCAAATTGTCCCACGATAAGGAGAAGACAGCTGCATTAAAAAAGCAAAAAGGAAAACAAAGAACGAGCTAAGTTCGGCTGTTGGTTGTTTTCATGTTTCCGCTGGGGGTGAGATCCAAATGCACGGCTTATGACTACACCAAAGTTTTTTTTAATATTTTTTCATTTTTTTTAATGAAATTTAATCCGATTATTGCATGATGTTCAGGGAAGCAGCGAGAGCAGTTTCTTTCTTGTTGCGCACAACATCATCAAAAAGGGCCATGTATGCCTCCAACAACTCAGAAGAAAAGAGGAGGAAAACGTAAAACACCGGTCCAACAATGCGTTACCGTTCATTTGTACTTGTATCCGAGTACTCGAACCCGTTCGGCCCAGGGCCAGTAGTGTGACGTGTGGGGGAGGGCTGGTGGGCCCAAAAAAAAAAACTGTGCTCCACCAGGACTACCCAAAGGTCAACCCTTTCACATCCGCGGACACCGCCAAAGCAGGAGCCTGGAGGACTGAAAAAACAACAAAATCATCATGAAAACAGAAAAGAGAGAAACCAAAAAAAATAGAAAAATATCTCGCACAAACAACGGATTTGCGGGTTCTCTACACCCATGCGCTGCAACGGCGATTATGAACAGTGCATGGGTGTTCACGTACGAAAGCGTTGACGCACTTTCAACAGTGGCACACATGTCAAAGACGACATGCACCTCCAGGCAGTGAGACATGGAGGCACTCACAGAGAGAGAGAGAGAGAGAGAGAGAGAGAGAGAGAGAGAGAGAGAGAGAGAGAGAGAGAGAGAGAGAGAGAGAGAGAGAGAGAGAGAGAGAGAGAGGCCACCGCGCGACCGTGAGGCAGCTCACACGACCTCTGTGTATGTATGAGTGTGTTTAGTTTTGTTAACTACCACCAGACATATTTCGCTTCTCTCTCTGCGTATGCCTGGTGGCCAGATGCTACACACAACTGCTGATAAACAGATCAGGGACGCTCGGAAAAAAAGGAGAACGAAGCAGGCAATGAAGGTCCGGAGGGAAGAACAAGAAAAACAGAGATGAAACAAAAGTAAGCGAGGGGATGAAAATGAGGGACAACCAGGTAACAAGAAAGCAAACAAACAAAAAATAAGTGACAAATAAGGTTGTGAAAAACGGCAGCTTGACTTTGAGATCCTGAGACCGACCTTGTCAGAACGTTCCTGGACGTCTGCAGGATCACGATGAAGATCGTGTACGTGGCTGTCCTTATCTTCCTGACACATGTAGACCAGGCTTGTCATTCTTGAACCTAAAGCGGGCTACTTATATCTGCATATGCCAGAGACGCACGGACGGACTGCGGGCGGACGGACGGCGGGCGGACGGACGGCCGGGGGACGGACGGCGGCCGGACGGACGGCGGGCGGATGGTCGGACGGACGGACAGACAGACGGAGACGAACAGACAGACAGATGGACAGACAGAGAGGCCGACAGACTGTCACAGCCCACACAGTGAGATGTCGGAATCAGCACACATGAATTCCATAATCGTGAAACACCATAGAAAGTCTGCATAGCAGAGAAGAGAGTCTGAAACAGCATATTTATGGACCATTTTTCGAACACGAGCAGAGAAGAGGAAGTGGGAGAGGGAAGGTGGAGGAGGAGGAGAGAGAAGAAACAACTGTTCGCTATACCGGCAAATGGAACTACATAAAGGCAGTAGCCTTCACTCCATGGCTTACGCATCCTGTCAGAGGTATGGAAGACCACGAGATATGGTGCAGATTATTAAGACGACAAACACGCTGCTGAGAATCGATTGCCGCTCACGAGGATCCATCCACATTCGCAACACTAGCAACGAAAGAACTTGATCAGTTACAGGAAGATTGGCTGGAAACAGACAGACCCCAAGCACATCAAGGCATGTAAACAAACACAATTACACACCTTTCGGGACAATTCAATTGATGGATAAGCTGCCTGTCTCTCGTATCGTGCACCCAGGAATTTGTCAAAGTCCTCAAAGACATGGGTCGGATGCATGAAAGCGCCTCCTGCTCCATTTACGATCAGGTGCTCATACAGAGGCAATGCTGGGGGAGCCAAGGAAGGTGGTGGAAACAATGATGCTGTCATAGGTGATGAAAATGATGATGACGACGATGAGAACGAAGTTGACAATACCGATGACCACGACCGCACGAGCCCCGCATTTGCCGGCGCTGGCAGTACAGCAGTATGCCGACTGTAGAAGTGCAAGTCCCCGGCAAATCTGATCTTACACCGGCCTTTCAAGTGTTGCTGAATCAGATAGGTCACATTAGTCCCGGTGGACACGTCCCAGTACCAATCAAGCAGCCAGTTTGGTTCATGCGTAACAAGGATGACCACATCATCCTCTTGCAGCTGAAGAAGACACACAAAGGAAACAAACAAGCAGACAAAAACTGTCATCACAAGGATGGCCACATCATAAGGATAACCACATCTTGCTGCTCTCTCTCTCTCTCTCTCTGCAAGAAGACACACAAAGGAAACAAACAAGCAGACAGAAACTGTCATCACAAGGATGGCCACATCATAAGGATAACCACATCTTGCTGCTCTCTCTCTCTCTCTCTCTCTCTCTCTTGTGGTAGTAGTCGTAGCAGCAGCAGCAGCAGCGGTAGTAGTAGCAGTAGTAGTAGTAGTAATAGTAGTAGTAGCAGTGGTAGTGGTAGAGGTCGAGGAAGCATCAACCATTAGGGAATCTAGAGATAGGCTGGATAGCACAATTTCATGGAGGCGTTCTGAGGCAGGGAATAAAAAGCTTGCCCGGAGAATGGAAGAATGCACGCATGTCGGCGCGCACACATAAACACACCCCATCGCGAAGAAGAAGAAGAACATTTATAACGACGACAACAACAACAACAACAACAACAACAACAACAACAACAACAGCAACAGCAGCGATGACAGCAAAACAACAATGACGTGTGCCTCACCTGGTGATCTGCTATGTTGGAAAAGTACTTGAACTGAAAGATGTCGATGTCCATGTGGAGAGACTGGTCAAGTCCAAAAATCCACCAGCCTTGAGGAAGCTTCAGAGCGAAGTAACTCTGTTCCTGTGGGAGCAGCCATCCCCCGAGCCAGTTCTTATGACAAATATACTTCATGAAGGTGTGCAGTCCATCAAACCAGTCTGTGCAATAAACCAGCGTGCCAGTCAACAGACACAGACAGACAGAAGGAAGGAAACGACAGACGGATGGATAAAAGGACGGACGTACAAATAGATGCAGGGTAATGGAAAGGGCAAAATATTCAAAGTATAACCGGCACAATATGGCGAATTAGGGGTTTACGGGTTTAGGGGTTTAGGGGCTTAGGGGTTTAGGGTTTAGAGGCCACACAATGCGGCAGGGGTTTGCCAATGTGTGTTATGTATGTGGATAATGTGGGGCTAAATGACCCATGGATTCGGTCACTCGTATACTGTCACATATCTATGAACTAAGCGGAAGGTATGAAATTACTAACAATGCTTGCATGCATCATACACAAGATCACCCAAAACAAACAAACTCAGGAAACTTCACAAGTTCACATCTGGTCCTAGTAGTACAAGAGTTTCCACAGCAGACACGACACTACCAGTATCCGTCCTGCTGCTCTACGACTCCGCATCCCATGATGGTGATATCCACACCTTGTATGGTGACCTTCTGCAAGGCCACAGTACATATGCCTCATACTGTATATATGCCTCATACGTGATGGTGATATCCACACCTTGTATGAGGCATATAAATTGTAGCCTTGCAAAAAGGCCCCATAAGAAGTTCTGCAAGCCCGAAATTGCGCCCTTTCTGCTGCTATACTACTCGGCCTTGTATCACTGTGCATGATTCGGCATGATTGCAACTAGGTCCAACAAGTGGCCTTGCAGAACTCAAATTAAAGAACAGCGAAAAACGAGGAAAGAGAACTACAATTTGAACTCTCAAGTCTGAACTCAAAGACCGCCTTAGAAGCAAAGAGGTACGGGAATCACAGGGGTCAAGAAGTGAGGAGTAATAAGGAAAGACACTCATGGTCCCCCAAACGCTCTACCCTACTCTTGCTAAATAAGCCAAGCTGACAGCCTTACAGCTGAGAGGAGCAGGCACGAGCCGGACCCCAGGGGGTTAGGGGTTAAGAAATGGTTTCTGGTAGGATACATCGGGATAGAGGAGCAGTCATGAGCCGGACAACAGGGGTTTAGGGTTTAAGAAATGGTTTCCGGTGGGGTACAACAGGATAGAGGATAAGTAGACAGTCTGGGATATACAGGATTCTGTCGTGAGCAGCGGCTTGTAAGCGAAACTGGGTAAGGCTCCCAGGATAACCTTGGGTTGAATTGTGAGGCCCCCGGCCTCCATTTATCTTTGGAATAGAATTTTCCTTTTTCAAAAGAACAAAAAACAAAGATTGAACAATGATGACGCTTCACTAAAACAAAAGAAGAACCATGGCAACCCTCGTAATGTCTAATAGCAAAAAAAACTCGTCACTTAGGTTAAATAAAGAGTCCTGTGTGCACTCTACATTCTCCCTCCCTCCCTCCCTCCCTCCCTCCCTCCCTCCCTTCCCCCCCCCCCCCCCCCCCCCCCCCTCTCTCTCTCTCTCTCTCTCTCTCTCTCACACACACACACACACACACACACACACACACACAAACAAACAAACACTCATGTCGTTCAGCTCGGTTGCAGTGGAGAAGAGGTGCTGAAAAAACTACAACTAACCATGGTTTCCTGGAGCTGCAATCAAAGGGACAGACATGCAAGGCATGAGTCATTAAAAAAAAAAAAAACACCACCATGATTTGCTTCCTTGAATTGCAATCAGCGGTATAGACAGACAAGCCATGAAGAGTTATCGAAAAAAAACTGACCGAAATTTGTTCCCTGGAATTGCAATCAAAGGAACAAACAGGTGAGGCAATCAAAGGCAGAGTTATTGAAAAAACACTAACCATGGTTTCCTGGAATTGCGAAGCACTGTGGGCCATCATAATCTTCCAGGCATTTGACACCAGGGGGTAGTTCGGGCTTTTTCACGCTTATGTGGTCTCTTTCGCAGAATGGTGGCGGAGGCATCGCGTACCGAAAGGGCCTAAACAGACGGTTCTCGTACGAATATGGACACGGATTTGGATACCTGTGCCGCCGCCACAGGATCAACAATGAGATGACAGTCAACGATGGCGAATGAGTTCATCAGAGTCTCCAAAGAATGAATCTGGACGGAAGAAAAAAGAAAACGATGCACATCAAGAATGATCAACAGTGCTAACATGGATGGAGTGAGGGCATTTAAAGAAGAAGGACAACAAATGGTGTGAGTGACGGCCATCAAATCTTTCCTCGTGTATCAAGAAAGAAAAGAAAGAAAACACAAAAAATCATGGAGACCGTGTGTACTTTCTTGGTTGCTTCTCGCTGAATACTGTACTAACCTAGCTTACCAGGGGCACACAGAGGGGTGCACAGGCGGGTCGCTCGGCCGTCCAGCCGCCTGGGGTACCCTGGGCGTGTAAGGACTCTGGGATTCTGCACCTCGCCCTCCCTTTCTGCACCAACCGAAAGCAGCCAAAATCCGGGCTCTCTTTTGTTTTCAGCATTGTCGGTTGATGGGGAAAAAGGGAGGTATAAATGGGGCTCAAAGGGGCTCGAAGCCAGGTGCCTTAGTTAAGTTTTTCATTTTCTTTCTCATCCCCGGTTCTATAAGGAAGTCTGAGGTGACCCCCGCCCAAAAGCTGTTTGCAAAGACTTCCTGCAAGTTCCCGGCCCATAAATGAATGGATACCATTGGATACTCAGTACTAGCGAACAGCTGACCGCCAAATCTCACCTATGGCAAATAGCCAATCGCCAAATCTCCAAACCCCCAAAGCACCACTGTGCAGCAGTCCCTGCTCACACTACAGAGGTTGCTCAGTCTCTCCTACCGGCCCATAAAAGAATGGATACCATTGGATACCGAGTACTAGTGAACAGCTGACCGCCAAATCTCGCCTATACCTTATAACAAATAGCCGATCGCCAAATCTCCAAACCCCCAAAGCACCACTGTGCAGCAGTCCCTGCTCACACTACAGAGGTTGCTCAGTCTCTCCTTCCCCCCGATGCCTGCCCCCCCCCCCATGTAGTAAACCTTGCGCCACCCTGGCCCCCGCCCCACACCCGTGAAGCAAACCTTCCCCCCCCTCCCTCCCTTCCCCTGTACCAGGATAACTGACGTCATCCAAAAAAGATATAGGAAATCCATTCCCCCTCCATCACAACTGCATGTATGCCTATCTTTCAGTGGATTTCTTAAAATTCTCATTTTCTTTTCCAGTCGCGTAGAATCAGTGAATATTCAGTTGTCTTTGCACATTTCATGTTTGGGGGAATTGTAGTTGATGAAAAGTTGGGACAGTTGCTGCGTTCCAAGTTTCAGAAAGAGAACGTGAATGCGGCACTGCGAGGAAAAGACGAGCCCGTACCGTACCTGCCTGCCCGATTGCTGAACAGGTATACACATGTAACTGTTGACAAGCAGATCAAGTGTTCAGATCCCATTGGAATGATTGGATTACACGACTATTTCGGTGGCTAAATCCAAGTGTTTGGATCCCACTGGAACGATTGGATGCAACAATGCCAGGGGCTACCTACCCCCCCTTAGGAAACAAAACAAGAAAGAGAAGAAGCACTCAACAGAACGGAGGAGAAGAAGCACGGGGGGACACGTAAGTGTAGCAATTGCCACTTACGCGAGATCGCCTCCTAAAACAAGAAGATTCGCTCGAGGGAGAACTAACAGCCGTCCGTCATGCTGCAGTCGAAGTTGAGGTTGTGCCAAGAGGCGTGCGATTGTGTACGTCGGATCCCCTCCATCCCCTGTGTCAGCCATGAAATCAAACCATAGCTCCTCGCGACCGCTCAGGTCTTTGTATGTGAAACTGTTTCCCCCTTTTCGCTTTCTCTGATTGTTCCTCTGCTGTGCTGCTGACATCGCAGACTGCAAATTGAAAACGAAAACGCAAGCAGCACCGGGAGAAAGGACGGGATGCGCAGGGCGGGGGGCAAGGGGGTGTAAGATCAAACATGTCCATTGCAGATGACAATATAGAATAAGGGACAAGATCCCAGCCCTCTATTGCTTCCTCAGAGTATTCCTCTGCTGTGCTACTGACACTGCAAACTGCAAATCGACGACCAAAATGCATAAAAGTTGATAAAACTATTAAAACCCACTGGGAGAGGAATTGGGCGGGCGAGGGGGGGGGGGGCGCGCTTGGGGAGGAAGAGCACGCATGTACAACACGACCGATCGAATATAAGACAACACAAGATCTTCCACCTCACTGAGAATGATGGATAGGCTGGCTTCCTTGCAACTTTGTAGCGCTGACAAAGCCGACGCTTGAATGTGCTGTACATCCTGACTCAGACCCAAAACTACCTCACTTTCTTCCCACAAAGCATAAAACACCCCAATCATAATGGCTGTACCAAACGCAGACAGAAAAAGTTTCACATGTTCCTGAGGTCTCAGCACAACCACTTTATTAACGTATACCTACTATACCATACAATCATTCGATAGATAAAATAGGTAAGTGGATGTGTGCATGTTGTATCTTCAAAACTCCTCCTGAGGGTCACTTCATGGGAAAACAAATTCAAAATATCCACCAACACATGTAAACAAAGCTGAACACACATAGTCTCGTCTTTCTGCCGCCACTTGGCACATAGTCTCGTCTTTCTGCCGCCACTTGGCAGCCATGCCCACCAATACATGCCCGACCAGGGGTAGAGTGAGCCCGACAGACAGAAGGACACAAGGAAGGACTATCACAGAGAGAAAGTGGCCCCTTGGATATTTGGTACAGAGATTGGCGTACTCCATAGGTGCTCTCTTTCTCTCCAAATAGATGTTGCTGACACGTCAGCCCAAGGCCCAATGAATTGGCAGTGTATGCTTTGTATGAGTGAGTCATTAACGAAGGCCGATATAACACTTCGCCATTGACTGCGGTGATCAGCAATTGAACTCCACCTGCAACTGGCCCTGCAGAGATTGAGCCCCGCATCATGTGCAGGCCACTGCATGCATGGCTCAGCCAATACAATACCCAGCAGGCACAGGACCACGTCTCAGATAAATTTTCTTTGTTTTTTTTAATCAGACACTTTGAGGAGATCCGATATGCCCGCGATTCCTCGGATGCACAACGGGGATGCACAACATGTGTTCGTACAATGTGAGCAGAAACAGCACGGCCTTCTTCGTTGATGGCCTTCCCAATCTACCGTCTTCCCACAAACACGGCGCAATCTGATCATGTCCATATACAAGCCATCTTCCTGAACCAATTCAGTCATGATCAGGGTGTGTTCTGTTTGGGGGGCGACAGCAGGCCCCCGTCCCCACTCTTACCAAGACTGCAATCAACAGTAGATAAGGGTTGCATACCTGCCGACTGCCAACCCCAACTGCCGACCGTTTTGCAGCCGACCAGTAGGGCCGACCGGTCGGCGGTCTGCCGACGAGTCAGAAAACAGCCATCCACCGGTGTTGCATACCCCGACGGTCGGCGCCCCTTGACTGGTCGGATGCCGGGGCACCCCGCAAAGTTTTTTATTTTTTTTGTTTTTTTTCAAGTTTTTTGTTTTTTGAACTTTTTTTCCGAATAACCCCACCAACACCCCCATACCCGCCCCCAATACCCCCATACACCCCCTCAAAACCCACAAACCGCTCCCCAACACCCTCATACCCCCCAATATGCCCTATACCACCCCTATACCACC